CATCAGATTAATATTTCATGCTCAAAAATTGAGCTACAAGTTCAATAATTCAGTATCGGCAGCCGCCCACAAGCGGAAAATAACAGCTGCCGAAATACGTACATAAGCAAAAAAAATAAAACTGCTGTACGACAAGGCAAGCTGAAGCAAAAAACAAGGCAAAAAATTCAGAAAGCGGCAAGTCTAAAGTTAAGCACATGATGAACCGCAAGATTCTGAAGACGACTGCCCGAGTTCCTATGCTTCAGCCTGAGGATCAGACTGATCAGCGTTGAGCCCCATGGTGGCCTCAGCCCCAGCAGCAGAAGAAGCGGGCTTTGCACTCTGCCGAGCCTCCCTTTCCCTCTGTTCAGCTTCCAACTCCATTCTCTCAGCTTCCTCTTCGGCTTCCTCAGCCTTAAGGATTTCAGCTTCAGCTGGAGTTGCATACTTCATATGAGGGTCTTCGGGATTCTGGACCCACTCAGCACATTTAGACCAGTCCAGCTTCGGCTCAGCATGAAGGCAGACTCTTCGGCATACTCGGAACCCGTTTCTGAAACCCATCTCATATTCCTCTTGGGTATAGACACGGACTTTGAGTAAAGCCTCAGCATCAGCCAGCTTCTTCTGGGTCTCCTCCAAGTCTTCCTTGGATTTCTTAAGCTCATCAGCGAGCTTGGAGGAGGAACCTTTCAGCTCATTCAGCTCTTGCTGAATTTGGAAAGCCTTTGTCTGAGCTTGGGTCACCTCAACTTTCTGGATCATCAGTTGATCCTCAGCCTCTTGGAATTTAGCTCTTTGGGCTTCAGCAGCAGCAGCAGCCTCTGAGAGTTGGACATCTTTGGCCAGGAGCAGCTCTTCAGCAGCCATTCGGCTGGCTTCAAGAGCCTCTAGACGTTGCTGCACTTCAGCTTGTGCAGCAGCTCCTTCCTGAATTCGGCTCTCAACAGCAGCCTTGAATTTGGAGACGTCCACTCCCATATGCTCCTGGAGGAATTTTTCCCCTTCCATCAGTGGGGGAAAAAATTCCTTCTCCATAGCGTCGCAGAAGGTTTTGAGGGCTTCAGCAGCTCTTTTCTCATACTCCTCACCCTTCTGCTGCTTCTCTTCAGCTGCTGCTTGCTTCAGCTTAGCAAGCTTTAATTCCTCTTCAGCCACCTTCTTGTCGTGCACAGCAGCGTCTACCCTATCTTGTAGGGTATCTATCAGCTCTACAGTGAGAGTCTGATTGTGCACGAACTGAAAACAGGAAGACAAAAAATAAATAAATAAATAAAAAAAAAATATAAAGAGCTGAATTTCAGAGGAAATGAAGACAAGGAAAATTACCTGCATCATCAGGAGTTGGTTAGACCTGGCTGGGTCAGGAACTGATCTGCTGGATTCGCCCATCCCAGCAGTAGCCTTCAGCGACCAGATCCTTGCTCTGTCTACTTCGGACATGCCAGCAAAATCGCCGAAGTAGGCTGCAGCTCCTTCTCGGTTCTGACCCCATATGAGGTCCCAGATGTGGTCTGGGATTGGAATTCGGGGGGCCGAGAAACCCATTTCTCCAGAATGCAGAGTCTGGAAAGAAGGGAAGGATGACGATGGAGCTTGATTAGCTTTGGTTGTCTCAGCATCATCCTTCTTAGAGGAGTCAATTACTATGACCTCCTCTTCTTCAGGGGTGAGGACGAAAGCCTCAACCTCTCTGGCGATGTCTGCCGTGAAGCCCTCAGCACTGGACATCACGACATCCTTATTTTCGTGCTCAGCAGCACTCTTCTTGATTTCTTCTTGGACCCCTCCCTTAGGTTCGGGAGTTCTCTGATCCACCTCCATCTCAGGAGGTGGCGGAGGGGTCTTTTGAGGTGATTGGGGTGGTGGCTGGGGAACCCTCGGCGATCCGTTGCCTTCCTCGGGTTCCCTTATTGCGACGCCGATGGTCATCGGCCTCCGCTGAAAGTCATGAGGGCCGATGATGGCCATCCTTCGGCGCCTTTTCAGAAGGGGCTGCTCGTCCATATCTGAGTCTGAAGACTCTTGTATTTGGTCTTCGGGACGAACAGGAGCTTTGCCTTCTCTGTGTCTGTTACTCTCTTCAGACTGTAACAGACAGGGGGGAGGAAGAATGTGAGTAAAAAAAAAAAAAGAAGAAAAGAAAAAAAGAAAAAGTTAAGTCTGAAAGCTCACCGAGGTCTTCAGCAAAGCCTCGTCTTCTTCAGCTGCTTTAGCTGCAGCTTCGGCTTCAGCAGCTCTGGAGGACCCTTCTCCTCCTTCGCAAGCTTCGAGTACCCGTGCAACCTCTTCGGCTGTGCGGGCAGCTTCAGCTTCTTCGTCCAGCAGCTGAAACCAAGGGTCTCTCTTCTTCCACCAAGGCTTCTGCCTCTGATACAGAGCGACAACCTCAATTTGGAAGTGGGAAGAGTCTAGATGAACTTCCCTATGCCTCGGCTCAGTGATAGACGGGGCCCGTTCAGTTACAACTCGTTCTCGGTTGACACCAAGACGAGCGTAGTTAATGCCAACGTTGGTCTCGTCCCGCTCTGAAAAAAGGAAAGGGGAAAGGTTAGCTCAGATAGATTGGCACAGCATAAAAAAGCGAAGCGAGAGAAGAAAAAGAGATAATTAAAAAGCCTCGGCCCCAGCCGAAGATGCTTACCATCCTTAAACTTTCGGCTGAGGCCAACAGCTGCTAGCATGTTCTCTTGGAAAACGTAATGCGTATCGGGGAGCCAAGTCTCCGGGATATGCTGCATTCGGCCACTGCCCCCCCGGTTCGGCAGCTTGCCGAAGATATGTTGCTGATCCAGGTTCGGATCCGCCCCGTTATCTACGGGGGGACCTAGACTTCCCATTTCGGGATCAGGCTCAGCAAGGTACCGGGGAGCGCTGAAGACGCAAGGGTGGCCCGGATCTGTGGGTGCCCTAACCCAAATCCATTGACCTCTCCAGTCCTTGTCTGAAGAGTCGTTTGGCCACATGGTTAGGTATTGGGGCCGAGACTCAATCCGGTACCACCCAGAACCATGGCTTCCGTGCCCACTTTGAATATTTGGCACTAGCCGATGGAGCTTTTTGAAGCAGTGCAGGTTCGGCACGTACTTGAAGAACTTGCAGACCCATAAGTATGTCATCACCCTTCGGATGCTGGTGGGGGTTAACTGACATAGAGAGATGTTGTAATGGATCAGCAAGTCTCGGACGAATACGTCCAAGGGGAACCTCAGCCCGTACTGAAGCTGTCTTGTGTACACCCCCACATACCCCGGGGGTGGACGATGGATTCTATCGGATGCCGAGGGCATTCGGCACCAATACCCATCAGCTTCAAAAATGCCGTAATGCAACTCAATTTGCTCGGCAAATCGATATTGATCGGCATTCTCCACCCACCATGAGTAGGGGCGGTTCTTTATCATGGCCGAAGCAACTTCGGCATTCTCCCATTCTGAAAACCCGGGGAGGATATCCCAAAGGACAGCGGGAACTTCATCATCCCGTCCAGAAGCGCTCGGCTCCTCCGTTCTCTGAGGAGGAGCCGAGGAAAGGGGAGTCGCCCTAATCCCTTCAGCAGGGTCAGACTCCGGCCTTTGACCATTCCAGGTTCCAATCCTGTTCCTAGGATCGGGAATCGGCCTTGCTCTTCTTGGAGCACGGGCTCTACCTCTAACTCCTCTTGCCATTGATTATTTCGAAGAGAAAAGTCGAAAGAAAAGGGGAAGGAGTTCGAATTCGAAGAAAAATAAACTGAAATCAGAGGAATTTACCTTAATCTGAAGCGAAAGTTGCCGATTTACGAGTTCGTAGTGGCAAGTCTCAGTTTCTAAGCTTAATGCTCGGGGAATTTGCGAAGTTTTGATGCGGGTTCTTGGTTTCTCTCTCGAGAATTCTGGGTTTGTGTTGATGAATAAGTGAGGAGAAATGACGCGCCTCTGTTTATATCTCCAGGTACGGGATACGAGGAGTTTGCGTTTTAATTTCTCTTAAATACTCCACTAAGTAACCATTAAACACATGATCTTGTGATTAAACTGCCCATTATCCGTCCAACTTCCACAATCATTAACCGTTGTTATCTCATTAATTACGGTTTAAATTCAAATTTTCGGATTAATTAAATCATTTACTTCCCTCCTTTTCTGAATTAAATCAAACCCGACCCGTCATCCTTCCAAATCGGGTCTGGGGGGCAAGTTGTTTGGGTCCAATTTAGTCCAATTGGGCCGAAACAACTAAATGATCCAATTAAAAGCCCAAAGTCAAGGTTCAACTCTCCAAATTGTGCTAAAGTCAAAGGTCAGCCCACAAAGCAAGCCAATTGGGCTAAGGCCCAACCTCTCCATGTAAGATGAGGTATAAAAGCCATCATATTGATACATTCACAGAGGGATTCAGATATTCATATTCTGATTCATTGATAGATTCATACATTCTGAGATATTCCACAAAAGCCTCAAGCTACAAGCTCTCTTGCATAGTATCTTCTTCTTACACATTGTACTGACTTTAGCATCGGAGGGGCCTTCCTCGGCAACACCCCCGAGGCTAGTTTACGTGTGTTTACTGTGCAGGAAACCTTCGGCCCAACATAACTTGGACCGAATCCAGTCTTCTCCATTTCAGCGGACCTTCGGCAAGGTCCCATTGTTTTCACCCGAAACAATATATATATATATATATATATATATATATATATATATATATACACTTCGTATTATTTACTACAATTCCAAATGTGAAATTATGTATAGTTTGCTGTTGTACAAGCAATCCCTGCCACCGGAACACGGTTTTATGGAGGTAGCGCGACAATAAGCGTATGGGATCCTTATGTAGCCAGGCAAACTGATTCAAGTGATTCTAGATTGGTTGTTCTATTGAGTCCAGGAGTTTTCCTACAGGCTGGTTGGACTGTAAGTTGGAGATAGTCCATAATTTTATGATATTGGCAAGCTTGGAAGAGTTGAAACAGTGTTATTCATTTAATTAATTAGCATATGATTTTATGATATCCATTATGAATTCTTTTGCAGGTCTTTCCAAAGCACTATGGTGACCATAGAACAAGGTTTTTCATTTACTTTACGGTACGAAAATTTATTTACCATTATACTTTCTTGTATTAAATATAGTAACAACATTGGTTTTAATAGTCCCAATCAACTTTGATCAATTTAGTTTATATAATCCTAATTTTTTTTATTATTTTGCAATAATATCAACTTAAGGGTGTGTTTTCTAGGTTCTAGAATTCTCTAATCAGTCAATAGAGGTTAACAACCTGTTAAATCAGGTTACATGATACCTGTAAAATCGTTATTAGTCTAAAAAAAAGTAAACAATAATAAATAAAAAAAATACCAGCTTCAACCCTGCTCCCTACCGAATTGTTTTGAAATCAGTCAACGCCAGAATATTAGATCAACAATACAAATCCGGGCAGAAATAGTGTTTTTTCTACATTTACCTGTTATTAATTACTCCCTCCATTTTTAAATATTTACTCCATTTCTCCATGTGCGGAGTTTTAGGAGAAATTAATAAAATATGAAGGTAGTGGGGTAGTTAAGAAAATAAAAAAATTGAAAAAAGCAAAAGTAGTGGAAGAATAGGAGGAGATAGGGTATTATGTTGGATCCACTAAGTGTGAGGAATGAATTAAATATTGTAAAGACTTTTTAAAAAAGGAAATGGAGCAAGTATTTGAAAAAAGCAGGAAAAGGAAAGTGTAGCAATTATATAAAAACGGAGGGAGTATTTTCTTACAATATTTTTTTTTATTAGGTCACTTCTCACAAAATTTGGAGTTTATTAATTAGATAGTTTATTTTTCATTAATAGATACTGGGAAAACTCCTCAAGTTGGAGTGTGTACCATTGATCAGAATATATAGTGTTACAATACTAGACCTAATCACGTTAGGAAACCTAGTATGATAAGGATACAAAATATACATTAAATCTATCATAATCTACGACAAATCTTATCATAAATATGCAAAGCTCTAATACCATGTTAGATATTGGGAAAACTCCTCAATTTAGAGTGTGTACCATTGATCAGAATATAAAGTGTTATAATACTAGACCTAATCCCGTTAGGAAACCTAGTACGATAAGGATAAAAAATATACTCCCTCCGTGTTTTTTTAAGTGTTACACTTTGACCGGCACATAGTTTTAGACAATTTAATATATAATAAGAGGTAAGTGGGTTAGTTGGAGTATTAAAAAATTGTAAAGAAACATAGTGAGGTTAATAGTTTATTGAAAAGTAATGAATGTGAGAGGAAATATATAATAAAAAAGTAGTAGTGGGTTTGGGTGGGGATCATGAGAGGAGAGAGATTTAATATTTTAATGTAGCTTTTTGCCAAAAAAAAGGAAGTGTAACACTTAAAAAAACACGTCCGGAAATAAAAAGTGTAACACTTAAAAACACGGAGAAAGTACATTAACTCTATCATAATCTGCGACAAATATTATCATAAATATAGTATCTATCATTCACTATAATTTTGTTAAGATGAAGTTATTAGCCTATGGTTTTTATTAGTAGCTCTTTTGTACAAGTACGAAACTTCACAATTTTTAAAAATCAAACAGACAGATGATTCCTTGACTACACGTTGCTGGGACTTGGATTGTAACGGATTTGTGCAAGTCAACAACAAATTTTCACTTGGAGCCTACATAACACAAGTTTCGACCATAGGTGGTGACTTGTATGAGTTAAAAATAGCCATTTTTCAGGTATAATAATCATGTTGTTTATTACGTAGTGCATTTTTTTTAATGTACAGTACAGTTAAATTTGGTTTATTTTTAATTTAAAGCTTATTCTTTCTACTTTTAACGTATTTTATGCAGTCTTAGGACTGCTTATAGTTCGCTCATTTTATTTCTTTTTTCACTTTTATGCTAATATGCTTTTAAATCAATTATTACAGGATCGAAAGACGGGAAATTGGTGGCTAAGTGTCATGGACACTTCAATAGGATACTGGCCAGCATCCCTCTTCCCCGGCTTACCAGAAGGCGCTACGAGTTTAGAATGGGGTGGATCTGTCTACGATTCAATCGGAATTGGTCCGCACACTGACACGAATATGGGGAACGGATTATTTCCCGATCTAAGGGTTAACAAAGCGAGCTACGTGTGTTCACTTCAATATGTGGATGAATCATTCACACTTCAAATTCCAGAAAGATCGAATTTATTTGGAGGAGGAACTAACCCTTTTTGTTACAATGCGCAACTTTTACCAGAGTTAGACCCTGACCAAGGATTGTGTTTTCTGTTTGGTGGCCCTGGTAAAAATCCCAAATGTCCTTAAGTTTGAATGTTTGATCTTACCTTCTCTTTTTTTGAAGCTTGATTGTGTAATTTACTCATCATTTATCATGAATTTGGTTAGTTTGTAGTAAAATTTTTGGTTTGTTGAAAAGTGTATACAATCAAAATGTCAGTGAATAAAGAAGCTGTTTAACTTCAATATTGATAGGTTTGGTATTTTGCTAGCTAGGTCCATCAGTATTGTACCTAGTAACTTGTATGTCATGCAAAATAGGCAATTTTGTTTTTTACCACCTCACAAAAACACGAAAATCTCTTTTACCACCTCCCAAAAAAAAAGTATTACTTTACCACCTCATAAAGAACACGAAAATAGGTTTTACCACCACTTAACTAATTCCGTTTAGGAATCCGTTAAATGGGCCCATAAAGCCACATGTCGTGTTATTATTGGCCAAAAAAAGAAAAAAAATAAAAAATAAAAAGAAAAAAGAAAAAAAATTTTAAAAATAAAAAAAAAACCTAAAACTACCCACCACCACCACAGCGCCACCACCCAACCCACGACTACCCCCTCGAACCTACCACCGGCGGCGCGGCTCCACCCCCTCCCTCTCCCAACCCACCTGAACGCCCCCTTCCCTCTCCCGCAACCGAAATCGACCTAAAAACCACCGACCCACAACCTTCAATGACCACGAATCCCCCCAAAACAGCCACCATTCCGGCCACAAATGGCCGAAATCGGCCGGTTAAGGCCACTCAGCCCCAAAACCAGCCGATTTCGGCCATTTGTGGCCGAAATCGTGACCGTATTAGGAAAGCAGGGTTTTGGGTTTGGTGGTTTTTGGGGGTGTTTCGATTGCGAGAAAGGGACGGGGAGGGTTCAGGTGGGTTGGGAATGGTGGTGCGACGCGGGTGGTGATTTCGGGGAGTGATGTGGTGAGTTGGGGGGGAAGGCGGCGGCGGTGGCGCGGGGGTGGCGCTGTGGTGGTGGCTGGAGTAGTTTTAGGTTTTTTTGTTTTTTAATTTCTCTTTTTTTTTAACAAATAAAATGCCGACACGTGTTACTGTGGGCCACACTTAACGAAATTTTTGGATGGAAACCGTTAAGTAGTGGTAAAACCTATATTCGTGTTTTTTATGAGGTGGTAAAGTAATACTTTTTTTTTTGGGAGGTGGTAAAACAGATTTTCGTGTTTTTATGAGGTGGTAAAAAACAAAATTTCCTGCAAAATATTGCATCAGTCCCATAATTCCATCCCATTGAACTTTTGAAGATATAATTTCAGTAAACTTATATATATATACTAGTTTTGTGCCCGTGCGATGCCCGGGTTGTTTATTGAATTTAAACATGAATTTTTAATCTACATGTCAAATTTTAAAATATACCATTGATACAAAATTAGTTTATTAAATTTAAAGATAAATTAGCTTTTGATACAAAATTAGCACTTAACAATTATTCATGTTCTATGTAATGACTAATACTAATATTGGTGGAAATGTTCGATTTAATACATTAAAATAAATAAACAAATAATAAATTAAATAAAATAATTGTTCAAAGCTCGTTGGGTTGACCCGAACCCAAAACTTTGGGCAAGGGTTGAACATTTCTTGACTCGTAACCTAAAGTGATGACCCGATCCGGGATGACTCATGACTCAACCCTAATTGACAAGTCTATGTAGTAATAAAATTCTATTAGTTATGAAGTATATTATTTTAACCGATTAGTATATATTAATAGATGTTTTACACTTTAAACTAATTCCTTCACTCCAAAAAAAAAATATTATGACATAAAAAATTAAATTTATATGATAATTATTTAGAATTATAATCTAATAATATTTTTGAATAAAATTATAATTCAATTTGTATCTCTGAAATATTGGTCTATTATTGAAAATAAAATTCTAAACTTAAAATTTTATCCTAAAATTCTTTTTTTTTTATATATATCTTATGAAGTCTATTTAAATCGCTCCAATGTGGCGCGACAGTTGGCGAAAAGTTGGAACGCCAAGTGTCGCAACGTCGTGACCTGGCTAAAAGTTTAGCTTTATATATATGTATATGTATAGTGTATATATATATATATATATATATATATATATATATATATATATATATATATATATATATATATATATATATATATATATATATATATATATATATATATATATATATATATATATATATATATATTTATATATATATATATATTTTCGAGTTTTTAAAAAGCTACATAAGATTTAATTTTTTCAGCGCGCCGTGTAGGATTATAAATTTTAGTTGTAGCCAATTAAATAATAGATTATTATTTTCTTATAGAATTAATATATAAAGGAGATTTTTTTTCCTGAGCTTTTAGAGAGCCACATAGGATCTAATTTTCTTAATGCGCCATGTAGGATTATAAATTTTAGTAGTAGGCAATTAAATAACAAATTATTAATTTATTTTAGTATTAAATAATTTAAATGACACGTAAGAAATATTGGCGAATGAGATCTCTCGGTTCAAATTAATTAAATATAAAATATTATCTTTTGATATCAGAAATTTCATCTTAATATATAACAAATTTAATATATATATGTATATATATGTGTGTGTGTGTGTGTGTGTGCACATCGCATGGGTTTCATCTAGTAATTACTATAAATATAAGTAATAATACATATAGAGAGTGAGAGATAGATCAAGTTGTTAGAGCTCCTCTCTCGATTCCAAGAGATTTTGGGTTCGATTATCATCACCCACCCTCGTGGCTCTCTGAACACCAAAAAAAAATTAATATATACAGTAATTTACTAATTTAATTTAAACTCAAACTATAACTAGCTACTAAACCATTCACCGCACTTTATTCACCCACCATTCACTGCCCTTCGCCAGCCCTCACCCGCCCCTCATTGTCCAGCGCGGCTCATCCGTCCCCCGAAAAAACCTCTCTTGGCCTGGCCTAGAAAACCCCTAGAATCTAGTCTCAGTCCCTGTAAAATCCGTCGACCCTCCCCCACCTCGATGGTTTCGATTGAGGGGTAGGGCCGATCGACCTTTTTACACTATGGGGAAGGGTTTTTTTTTAGGTTTTCCGATGGTGGGTTTCGAGAGTGAGGATGGCCAACGAGGGGTGGGGGAGAGGCGGTGAGTGGTGACGTGGCTGGGCATGGTGCAGTGGTGCGGCTTTCCGTTGATTTGGGTAGGTAGGAGGGTGGTGATATGGTGGTGTAGTGGTGACTAAGGAATGGGAATGGAAATACCTAGGGGGTGGGGAATCAACTTTGAAGGATTTGGGGGAATGAAGAGGGTAAAGGGAATAGGAAAAAAGGCCCAACAAACAACAACATATTAAAGGGAATCAGGGCAGTTGATTCTCATTTTCTTTGATGAATACCCTCAACCAACGGCCCTTAAGAGAATAGCACATGTAATAATATTTTGTTAGACTTGGTATTCATTTTAACTTATCGGAACGAAAACTTTATTTTAAGAGAATAGCACATCATGCATCCTTACATCCAATCAACCTTATATTGTATGATACGCTAAATGTATAAGTTAATTGTTGCTCGTCACATATATATGATTTGTATATATAACTTGTATTGGATGTTTTTGTTGTGTTAAACAAGGCGAAGATGGGGATGTGGTAGATTGTGTTGATATACGGAAACAGCCAGCTCTTGATCATCCTCTCCTCAAGGATCACAAGATACAGGTAATTAGAGTAGATTTGTACTAATTCAATTTGTTAATTACTCGTATTTTGTGGCAAATAACTTATTAGTGGCGTGGCACAACCAAAGATATCCCTTTATTTATGTTATTATACCTTGTTAGTACATAAGTGGTGGAGATTAAAAAAAAAAAATTCATTTTAAGGTACAACCAGTTATACGGTGAGTTGAATATGGGAAGATACAAGTTAATCTGCCAGATTAACGAATTTTTGTTAATCTGATGGCATTTTTATAAATATATTGAAAACGTAGGGTCATTTATTCAGTACTTTTGGTGAGCTATCCAATTACTATTTGGTAGGAAATATGACTAATAGCAATTAATAATAGATAAAACTTATCTAATTTAATGTCGTGGCGTGACATAGCATCACTGCCCTAAAGTCGAATTTGCCCCATACTCATACACATGGACTCATAGCAATCGACCTCTAGGGTTACACGACTCTAACTCTCCGGTGTACTTCAAAGAGCTAGATTGAGAACACAATGATCAATGCCCAAAACAAGGAATTATTTTGTGTAACATTTTTGGAGTAAAGAAGAGAAGTATATCTTTTTAATTGTGTATATCCCTTGTGAAGTGGAGGATGCTTCAATTTATTGTGGAGTAGTATGTAATCTTTTGTGTCCAAAAAGAAGTGGAGGAGCTTCATTTATATAGAAGTTTCACTAAGCTCAAGTCAAAAGAAGGGAATTAATATTTCACAGCAACCATGCATAAGAAATCAATCAAAAACCTCTAATTATGCATGTATACTAATTAGTCTTCCATCTATGTATTAAACGGCTAGAGAGGAGGAAATATATGACGTTCAAAGTCAACTAATTGCCATAATCATGGTATCAATCAAGCAAATTTGAATTTTGATCTTTTGAAGCAAAATCAATGAACCTAGACTTGGAGTTGTACTATGGGAATAAGTGAATAAATCAAACATTCCCCCCACATGATTCAAAAGAGCAAAGTAAAGAAATTTAGGCAAAGGATACTCGGTTTTGCAAGTATCAATGTCTTGTGGACTTGAATTGATACCCAGTACTTACAATTCTGTTATACAGTCATATAGGGTGGACTTGGCCTTGAACCTTTCATGAGGTTATATAAACACAGTTGCGTACTAAACCTTTCTCAAATCAAAGATGTTATCGCGAAATTAAAAAAAAAAATGCCCCACATATGCCTGGATTTTTCATGAATGCTCTACAGGTCCTAGCCTTTGGAACCTCATAAGGGATTGGGCGTAACCCCAATATTCATATAGGTAAGTTCATCAAGTTTGTACTGCCACAAACCACCTTTATATATTAAGGCTACGAACTTATTAAAAGTTCTTTAACTCAACCTCATACACATAGCAGTAAGCACTACTACAAAATAGACAATAAAGAACGCCAAAAATAGGCAATATAGAACGCTTTAGAGGCGTCCTTCAAG